ACACAGTACCTATGTTCTAGTAAAAATAACATCTTAATTTTATGATGGTACGCACACACAATTAATATTTAAGAGAAATACAGTGGCCAGGTTAATGTCCATTCAAATAATGAACTCAACTCCCCCCTCTTCCCACGCTCGCTGGCTCCTCCCTCTCTGAGAAATGTTTGGGTGAAAACACTAGATTTTAAGGTATAGTAATAAATAATACCTCAGACTAAAGTTAGGATAATATAATTGACATTTCTGGATTCCTTGCAAGACCAGGAATATTTTGAATATACACGTCATATATTTTGCACAAAAGATAACATATTTGCTCTGAGTAAGCAAAAGCAATATTCTTACTTAGATCTAAAATTTGTATGTCTAATGCAAAATCTATGATGTTTATATTCAAAATGATCATCAAATTGTAAGAATTCCAGCAATGTAAATTATATTCTGGCAGGGTAATTTGTATGAATTTTATGAGTTAAAACAAATATCTTCAGTAAATAAAAAGAAATATACTTCACCCAGACACTGTCTGTCAATCAAAATACCCCACCTCCGGCTCCCCCCTTCTTCCCACTCTCGCTGGGTCCCTCCCTACCCTCACCCCCACATTCCCTCCCTCCCTTCCTACCCCCACCCCCCCCTACCAGAGAAATGCTTGGGTTAAAGCAGTATATTTACATTTTTAGTAATAAATAATACCTCAGACTAAAGTTAGGATAACATAATTGACATTGCTGGATTCCTTGCAAGACTAGGAATATTTTGAATATACACGTCATATATTTTGCACAAAAGATAACATATTTGTTCTGAGTAAACAAAATTCTTACATTAGATCTAAAATTTGTATGTCTAATGCAAAATCTATGATGTTAATATTCAAAATGATCATCATATTGTAAGAATTCCAGCAATGTAAATTATATTCTGGCCGGGTAATTTGTATGAATTTTATGAGCTAAATAAAAAAATTATACTTCACCCGTGTATATGAGTAGATGCACCGCGTAAAGTGGGAATTCCGGTTCTGGCAGGGTACCGCGTAAATGTAGAAACGCGTAAAAAAAAAACCCGCACAAAGCGGGGTATTACTGTATATATGTTTTAAATAAAACTTACTACTGTAAAACAAAAATTCAACTCACCAATGGTGGTAAAGTCTAAAACATAAGGACAGCCAATGAATATTGTGTGAGTTTTTACTCAGATGATGAAGTCATCAGGTTCAACTCCGGCTGAAGTTGTAGGTTCAACTCTGGCTGAAGCTGAAGTTTTCCATAAAGATGTCATAGCTGTTGCTGAAACTGTTACTGATCCTGAAGTTTTTGCTGAAACTGATTATGATGCTGAAGTTGATGGTTTAGGCCTTCGAATAATAAAGCTGTTGAATGGTTTCACAGCTGCTTTCTTTTCTCATTATACATCTTTATGTAGAGGTCATATGCGTTTTTCACATCCCTGTTAATTTTATGCTTTGTTCTGTTAATAGATCCACTTCAGAAAATATGTTCATTGCTTGCTCCATATAATATCCACAGACCTCTCACCTTTTTCATATCATTTTAACACATCTAGTTTCTTGGCTAAGCTTATACACTTTCTATTAGCTTTTGAACCAACACTACCATCACTTGCTCATGTTGAATAGGGATGCAAAAATGCCGTAAGAAACCTGAGAATGTTTTTCTCCTTTTCTGCTCAGATGCGTGAAAACAAAAGGCCTACCAACTGTGACTGTTTATACTAGTGATGCTGGTGTCACCACTCACAAACCCTGACAGCCTCCATGCACAGGGAGTAATTTTTTTCGTTTTTTTTATAATACATATCGGGATTTAGTGGTATTATTTATAATAAAATGTAATTTTACTTTATTTTTTATATTTTTTGTCGTAAATAAAGAAAATAATGGTGTAAATTGAATTGGGTCCTAAATTAACCAGGGTCGTAAATGTAAATCGTCGTTAGTAGAACCGTCGTTATTGGAGGCTTTTCTGTAAAAAAAATAAATTACGAATGTCTACCCAAAATTACGAGTTGCAAAATAACCACAGAATGATAAATCTGGCCCTTCAGGGTCTCAGGAACATAGGCTATTTTTCCCCACAAGTTATTAATATTGATATACAATCGATTACCTTTGATGGCTATTCGAAGACCCTAGCCTCGTCGTATAACGGTCAACACTAAAGAGTAGTGGGTGAATGAAATAAGATAGGAAATATCTCATTCCCGGAAGTGCTCTACACCAATTGTTCCGGCTAATGGAGATATCAAGTAGTTTCAAGACAAGCAACAATATACTAGGCGGTTGGGCTGGCGACTCGGCCATGTAATTTATAGCCGAATTGGAAAAGAGGTTTGGAAATAATTAGAACAAAATTGAAAACAAACACCGAACCCCTAGTTTAAGGTAAGCCACAAATAATGTTTCTAATGGTTACAGGTACTCCTCGACTTACGACATACTCAACTTACAACCACCTGGACATACGACCGCCGTAGTCGAACAAGATTTTTTTTAAAATTACGTATTTTCGAGTCCTGACGTTAGTGATTGCGCTGTGTACTGACAAAATTTTTGTTTGTATTTCCCTTTAAAATGGCTGGCAAGCTTAAAAGTGAGAGTTTTGTGGTGCTGAGAAGAAAAAGAGACACCCATTTTAGATTTCCTATGTATTATTTTTGCATTTTCGACTTACAACCTGGTCGTCGGTCCCTAGCCCCGTCGTAAGTCGGGGACTGATCGTATATGTACATATCATGTGTCTGAGGTGTCTCCGTAGGTGTGAGCGCATTAACAGAATTGATCTTGAATTAGCGAACTAGTTCACTAAATCGAGCGAAAAATAACAGAAAAAAATCTTTCCGCTATATCAAGAGTTCGTTATATCGGAAGATCATCCCCAAAGCCGGAATTTGCAGGAAAATTCTGGCTTTGGAAATAACTTTCCAATAACATTTCAAAACGGCTACCAGAGAGTTCCGGGTTTGAGGGATTCCAGCTAACAGAGATATTACTGTAAATCTAATTACGACGGAGTTGTTTATCATCATACCCCTAGACCCGTTTTAAAAATACCCTAATGTTAACTTAAAACAACTACCAACAGTAAGAAGTTCATTGCCTCCATTGTTGAGAACATGTGAACAATGTCTGCCGCTCTCATTGTTTTTACGTTATTATCGTTCACTCTGTTTTGTGACTATGAAGTGAGAAGTGTAACTTTGAAGATGTCTTGGAAGGCCAAGACACCCAGGAAAAGGATGTCTTTGGAGGTGAAGCTTGACGTTGTGAAGTGGTGTGTAGTCAGAGTGATGTCTCCATTCACTATCAAGAGTCCCCATAGCCTCAAAGGGGCCAAGTGATAATCAGGTCTGTCCTTAATTATGTGGGGAGTGTTGTTTAATTGTGTTGTAAGTAAAGTATTCTTGTAGGAATTTTGTTTTCAGTGATACATGTGGGTGTCTGACTGGCTGGGAATGTAACTCATTGAACCCTATGTTACAATGAAACCGATTTATGACATTTCAACCTATACGATTGGTTTTTCAGGAATGTAACCCCCATCATAAATAGGGGGATACCAGCATCCCATACTGACAAAAAAAAAAAAATAAATAAATAAATAAAAAATATACAGCATGCCCTAACAATTAGCGGACCTCGATTATTCGCGGATGACACCCTGGATGTACCCAAGAATGCTGTCATTTTCGCTGCCTGGACAGGGAGCCATTCATTCTAGAGACAGTAATTTATTTTACCTGTATTGTATATGCATGTATGTATGTATGTGTGTGTGTGTGTGTGTGTGTGTGTGTGCAGACACACACACACAAAATACATAGATAAATAATAATGGGAAAATCCTCTCACAAATAATCAGAAACAAGACAACAAATGTATTAAAAATGTGAGAGTCTACCCTCAAGTCAACTCCGTGCTTTGTTGGTAAAGTTAACTTTAATTACAAAGCACGGAGTTGACTTGAGGGTAGACTTACATTTTTAATACATTTGTTGTCTTGTTTCTGATTATTTGTGAGAGGATTTTCCTATTATTATTTATTTGTATATGTTTTGTGTGTGTGTATCTACACATACAGACATATATATCAACATAATCAAATTTCATTTTGGAATGAAGTGGGACCAGTGATGAACAGTGTTTAAGCCAGTGAATTCAGCACTAGACAGTACCAGTGAGAGCCGTGACCCACCAGTGAGATAAGCACCCCTGGGAACTGACCGCCATCTTCTGACCAGGAGATGCTAATTACACCTGACTATGAGATAACACAACACCACCCAGCAGGGTGAGGTACTGTGACACCACCCGGTGTCTACATGACCACGTGAGGTCCTTCATATCAACACCCGAGGACGAGTTACTACACCATGTTAACACCACACCACCCAGTGTCTCCATGACCAGCCCAGGGCCGGGCCATCAAATGTAAACTATAATAATTTGCAGGTTAAATCATTGTTCCTTCTTCTTTTAGGAATGAAAGCTTTTGTTAAACGACCCACCCACCCCACGCCTTTATACTGTATACAGTAAGTCATATTTGTCCAATGTATATTTTCAGCCTTCGGGCTGCAGAACTTTTTCAATAAACCGTTAATTATTATTATTATTTATACAGGTAAAATAAATAATTGTCCCAAGGGCAAACATGTAAAGGAAATATACATTTCTTTGCACATGAGTAAAAATGTACACCCTCACCCCCTCCCCAACTGGTCAGCAAATGTTATATGCAGATTTGACTATTCATGACCATTTTGAGAACCTAACCCATACAAATTTTAAGGGCATGCTGTAATCAATACATTTGTGCTCACCAAAAAAGTAATTAAACCAACATGAAAATTGTGAGGGAGGGGGAATAGAAGAATTTGAGCCTACTCAAAGAGATACTTGCATAAGCATATTTTTATCATAATCAGAGTTATTAACAATCCTAGATTGGACTGAACACAACGAGTCTTACCCTGCAAACTGATTGCTGACTTTTTCCTGAGGTATAGCCATCTTCTCCAGCAAAGCATTTTTAATGGTGAGCAATTCAACTTCATCTTCACTTCTACGAGCTGGTTCAGGAGTTCGGCCATGTAAACTGATGAATTCCATCAGAACTGAAAATTAAAATAATATATTATTCCGTGAAACTAATCATAGCCATACTGTACACAACACTACTTTCTGTTTAGTGTCTCCACTGTCTTAAATGAAAGATAAATAATGACTGATAGATTGTGGTAATTACATCCCTGGCGACACAACAGCTTAGGTCATATGTCGCCAAATAAAAATAAAAGCTTATTAGACCAAAATCAAATAATGCAAGGTACAAAAATAATAATAAATAGCACAAAAGTTTTGTAACAATCATCTAAATGTTAATAGATAAAACTTAAAGCTTGTGAAGAAGGCCGCCTTCCTCCACAAAGGAGAGGATGTCTCCTCCCATGTTACCCACTCCCTCCCCCAGCACCAGGGAGAGAGGGTAAGCCCCCCCCGACACTGGAAGAGGTGCTTACAACAAATATCTCTGAGACTGAGGCATTTCACCAGGTGTTGAACAGTCAATTGGACCAGGCAGTCATAGCCTCCCAGCGGGGTGAAAGTCCATGATTTCCCCAGGTACTCTAAGCAGGGTGGATGTCACCGAGCTTGTTTGCTCCAACAGCATCACACCAGCATTGCCAACTCAAGTGGATAGCAGCTCTTATTATTGGCTTTATATCCATCCTGAGCGACAGTGTGGCGATGCTTGGGACACCGCGTGGGTACACTCACTCAGTACAGCGGTTAGTTGGTGTTTGGCTATCGTATCCTATGCTGATCGCGCTGTGAACTTACGTTATTATCGTATTTAATTGACTTTATAGTGACAGGAAAGAGTACAAAGTGAGAGTGCTGGTGGTGCTCAGAAGAAAAGGAGACAGGCAATTACTTTTGAGATGAAAATGAAGATAATAATGCAGTATGAGAATGGAAAACTGTAGTGACAATCTCACGTGACCTAGGTTTCTCGCACTCGACCATATCCACTATTCTGAAGGACAAGGAACGTATTCGTGATGTAGTGAAAGGAACAACACCTATAAAGGGAACTATAATTTCGAAGAAAAGACAAGGTCCTATTCATGATATGGAAAAAGTATTGGTGATATGGGTAGAAGACCAGATACAGAAGCGTGTACCCTTAAGCCTTCTAACCTTACAGGCTAAAGCAAGAAGCCTGTTCCAAACCCTGAAGGAGCAGGCAGGAGATGAATGTGAGCAAACCTTTACAGCAAGTCATGGGTGGTTTAATAGATTTAAAAAATGCTACAGTCTACACAATATTAAGGTGAGTGGAGAGGCAGCTAGTGCTGATGTTGGTGCTGCCGAAGCTTTTAAGGAGGAGTTAGATGATGTGATTGTGGAAGGGAAATATTTGCCTGAGCAAATATTCAATATGGATGAGACTAGATTATTGTGGAAGCGCATGCCTGAGCGGACATATATCCACAAAGAGGCGAAAACAATGTCAGTATTCAAGGCATTCAAGGACAGAATTACACTTCTATTGGGGGAGGGGGGGGGAATGTTGCTGGTTTCAAGCTAAAGCCCTTCATGATCTATCATTCAGAGAACCCCAGGGCTTTTAAACATATCAGCAAGCACACACTGCCAGTGTTTTATCGCAGCAATAAGAAAGTCTGGATGACCTAAGCACTGTTTGAGGATTGGTTCATGACTTGTTTCATTCCACAAACCAAGGAGTATTGTCTGCAACAACGGATTCCATTCAAGATTTTGCCGATTTTGGATAATGCTCCGGAACACCCACCACACCTGGACGACATGCACCCTGATGTTAAGGTAGTGTACATTCCACTTAACGCTACCTCTGTCATCCAACCCATGGATCAAGGTGCTATTGCTGCCTTTAAAGCGTATTATTTACGCACGACCTTCGCTCAGGCTCTTGCTGCTACTGAAGGTGAGAAAACGCTCAGAGAGTTTTGGAAGGAGTACAACGTTTTGTCATGTATAAAGAACATTAGTGCAGCATGGGATCAGGTTACAAAACATTGCATGAATGGAATATGGAAGAAAATATATGTGAACAGTTTTAAAGGATTTAATGAAAATGAAGTTATTTCGGATATTAGTAACAAGATAGTGGAGTTAGGTAAACAGCTTCAGTTAGAAATTGATAATGAAGATGCTGAACAGTTGGTTGAAAGTGTAGCAGAAGAGCTCAGTAACGAGGATCTTATTGAACTAGATGCACAGAATATTGCAGAGGAAGAAGAGACAAAATGTAGAAGAAGAACCTGCACCCCCAAAAAGTTTTCAGTGAAACAAATGGCAGAAGCATTTGCTACAATTAATAAAGGAATGCAAATGCTTGATGGCATGGATCAAAATTATGAGCGTTATGCCAAAGTTGACAGAATGATCCAAGATGCACTTGCTTGCTACAGAGAAATTTATAATGAAAAGAAAAACAAACTGTGCAGTCTAAATTGGACATCTATATTAAGAAGTCCCCCGTGCTGTCTCCTCACGCCCCACCAGTGATGCCTCTTCACTCCCTCAAGATGATCCAATACCTTCAACCAGCAAGTTTCCCATGTATATTAACCTGTCTGAAGAAAAAAGCGACAATGATGACCCACCCAGCCCTGTCTCCTCCTCTGCTTCTTCCAGTTAATGTAGTCTCCATGTATAACTGGAAAATTATGGGGGCCCCGTGTGCATTCAGCTGACTACATTAAAGGTAAGTGCTCAGTCACACTGTATCCATTCCTCATTATTTATTACTTTCACTGTACTGTATTTCATTGTAGATTTTTTATTTAAAAAAAAATTATCTTTTTTTTATCTATGTCGGACTTACGACCTGGATTTGGGTCCCTAACCCCGTCGTAAGTCGGGGAGCACCTGTATTAGTCATTTTAAAATTTAGTTAACTTATTGATATTATATGCAGTACAGGGAACTAGTTTTTTGAGTGCCCATCAGCCGCTTGACTCACCCACCAGGCGTCAGTTTGGCTTTGTTTACAGTGGAGTGAACATCGATTTTGTTGGTGTCTTGAATATTTTTGCAGTTTTATTAATTTTACTACAGCTACAACCAGGGTCTTATTTTCTTCATTTTCTCGTGTAGAACTAGCGTCCCGGACTCCCGGCTGTAAACACTAACGAAAACAATGGCGTCCCATCTCCTCTTGTGTGACCATATTATTATTCATTTATATTGTATAAGGTGCATTCAGAAACACTATTTAAAGAATATAGTTTGCAATTTTCATTAATTGTATTGTTTTGGGGGGAAAAGAGGGTAAAAAGCCACACAAAAGATATGAAAAGGTCACACTTGGGAACGCATCTCATTATTATTGCTTTATTTTAATGGTAATTAATGATTCGTGATATTGGGGGACACATTAATGTTGGCTGGAACAATTGGTGCAGAGCACTTCGAGAATGAGAGATTTTCAGTGAGATGACTCTGTCAAAGCCTGAAAAATCTCTCATCCCAGAATTTTCGGAAATGGAAAAATGTTCTCAGAAGTTCAGAAATTACCCATTACAGTCGACCCTCGTTAATTCGGACTAATAGGGCGGGAAGGGTGTCCGTTTTAGCCGATTGTCCGAATTAACCGATTTAGGGGTTAATATTGCATTGTATTTCAAAGTCATTGTTTTCGTCATGATTTTATCCCACTTTCCACTGTAATACGTACGTAATTTCAGCAAAAGTATTACATTTCCGTGAATGCATTATATCAAGCACAGTATGAATAGAATACCATTGTAATATAACAGTATTTTAACCAAAACTATTAAAAAACGAGTAACTTCTCTTGAACATCGGAAGGTTAGGTAAAATCTTTTGTTTTTGTCATGTATTTTATCCTATTTTACATTGAAATACATCACGTTTCAGCAAAACTACTATTTATTTCCGAGAATATATTCATTCAGGCGCAGTTTAGGTCAAATATACGTGTGATGTAACAGTTTTTTTTAACTGAAAACGATTCGAAAAACACGTACCCTCTAGCCCTGTTCAAGGAGAGGACTGGGAGAAGCTGTTTGGTGCTGCAGACGATGAATTTGGATGAATTTTAATGAAAATATTCAGAAATATAGTATCGTAGTATTTATTCAAGTCAATTAGGATAGAATATTATTGTAATACAACAGTTTTTAACTGAAAACCATCGAAAAGCGATTACGGTAACATCTTTTGAACGAAAGAAAGCGAAAGTCATTGTTTTCATCACGATTTTATCCCACTTTCCATTGTAATACCTACGTCATTTCAGCAAAAATATTACATTTCCGTGAATGAATTATATCAAGCACAGTATGAATAGAATACCATTGTAATATAACAGTATTTTAACCAAAAACTATTAAAAAAACGAGTAACTTCTCTTGAACATCGGAAGGTTAGGTAAAATCTTTTGTTTTCGTCATGTATTATATCCTATTTTACATTAAAATACATCACGTTTCAGCAAAACTACTATTTATTTCTGAGAATATATTCATTCAGGCACAGTTAAGGTAAGTGTAGCTAATACTCAACAGCTGGTGGTGCGTCATGCGTCGTTGTAAACAATAGGAGGTTGAAATAGATTACCGGGTATTATATTAAGTGTGAAATATCAAAAAGGTTTTTATTACCGGTATTTTTTGTAGATCAATGAGAACTGTGATACCATATTTGATATGATAAGTTCGCCTGTGCTAAGAACTTCAACATAGACTACTGAAAACATGTTGTAAGGTAATTTAGCCTATTGTAAGTTGGTGAGCTTCATTTGCTGAAGGAACTGCACAACTTTTCATTACTAATTGGTACATATTTTACGTTTCCATTGTTTACTGGCAGTAAATGGTAAATATTTTTCATGTCTGAAGCTAAAAGTTGCATCCCCCCCCCAAACTAGTGGTGGAGATGTTACATTTAACCAAAAAGACGCTGGTGTTTTATCCCAGCAGTGGGTGGACCAGCATTTTAGCTTAAGGTCCGCATAGGTAATATTCCTACAAATCTAAAAAAGTTCAGATTTTATCAATCCGGATTAAAGGGGTCCGAATAAACGAGGGTCGACTGTACATCA